GGAGCACGGAGCCCGATAGTCGGAGCATGGAGCTGCAGGGTACAAGCACAAAGCTTCCTGGTGAGAGCACGAAGCTCCAATAGAGCATGAAGTCCCTGTGTTTAAATGCTCAGTAACATGGGGAGGGAGGTCCTTGATAAATTTCTCCGACTCTTCCAGATGACGTAAAATGATGCCATCTGTGTCGATAACAAGAGGGATTGAGTACACCTCGTGAGAGTATCCAGCAAAGTCTGATAGCTGACCTGTAATGCAAAAAAAATGTTAGTTTATATAGGGTACAGACTACCTGAATACGCATGAGTCCACCCCTTGATAGATAAGATGACATCAGGCTCCTGCACAACCACGCCGCAAGTTCTGCGATTCTTGTTGGACTTCTTTGATTTACCTTTCCGCTTTGTCATCGTGGCTTTCTCTGCATCATCCTCGTCCTCGTCTCGGCCCAACTCAGCCTCATACATGTTGCTGAGATGCATCCTGAGATATGGACCCACTAAGGGGCATAATTGACTTGCAGACAGCGATTTGAGATTAAAATCAGGGCCAGGGGGTGGAACTCCTGCTGGCCAGTCATGAATGCAAAGTTGCATAGAGTAAAGGATGTCAAGCATCCTCATCCACCTGCTGTTCGACATTTTAGAGGGATGACCAGCATCAGCTACCGAAAGCATGTGAGTACACCGACAGCTGAATCTAATAAGACACAAACCAAATGCTTCACTGATGATTAAAGGTGCCACCATGCGATTTCTATCCCTGGCGGATTTGCCGTTGCGCAAGAGGGGAGCATTGGGGACTGCGACAGGCGGTGGGAGAAAACTGAGACTCTTGCCTTCTGCTTGGCAGCCTCCAAGTCCTTGTATCTGTAACGCATCCCATGTATATTAGTATCACATCCCCTCAAAGAAAAAGACAAAAAAACACACTTTAGGATTGTAGTAAGCTCATCTATCAAGCACTTTACATCTACTTGTCGAGCGTCAATGAGAGCCTTCACCATGTTAGACCCTGCAAAAAAGCCAGAGGCCTGCCGACCAGATTCCTCATCTCCTGGATAAATGGTGATACCAGCGATATGGATTCCATAGGTGCGGTACCAATATGAAGCCTTCCAAATATTTAGTCATTGATCAAGTCACCGAAGAACACTTACTGATTTTGCAAACACTTCACGAACTGCTGTCATGAGACTGGATGACTCCCGTGATGAAAGATCCTCAGGGCTGGCGACCACGCTATCCCAATGGTGTTGGATTTTCTTCCATAGGGATGCATGGTTAGGGTCTTTGTACGGGTGGGCATGATAGTGCGCATTTTGCTTGACTTTCCATGATGCCAAGTTCGCTGGAAGGTCATTAATAAACACCGAAACAGTCATGAATACAATAACTTACATTCTTTGGATGGAGGTAGTACAGTCGGGAACCAGGCAGACTCTTTGCGAGTTGCCTTTGTTGCTAGTCATGCCTCGATAAGAATCACCCTCTGGTGTTTCCCAAACTCTTTTCCAATTGCAGTTGCTTCAGCCATAACCCTCTTGCCAAATTCTTCCGTTTTCAAAACGCCTTCTTTGGACAGTCTTCCTGCTTTATGTGTGGCCCCATCCCCATCTTCAGACGTCTGATCTTCATTGCAGCCCTTGGGATCGGCATTGGCATTGTCACTGTGGTCGTCTGCCACCACTGGTCCCTTCTGCTTGTCATTCGCAGACAGTCTGAATGGCCTCGCAGGATCATTAGCACGTTCTGCTTTCTTTCGCTTCTCTTCAAGTTCTGCCCAGTCGCTGTCAGAGTCAGAGCTCTCTGCGTGTTCGCTCTCATGACCAGGAGCATATGATTTGCGGGCACCAGATCTACACGGGCGAATGGTCGTGGGTGCAACTGTGGCAAGACACATTAGTTGCGTACTGATATATATATATAGCAAAATTTAAATTTACCTGCAGTCTTCTCCTGTTTATTCATCACTGCAGTACCATCACATTCACCGTCAGATGGAACTACAATAAAGCATGTTGGTTGTATACCACGAGACATGCCACAAAACTTACCTGCATCTCTCTCCCTTTCATTTGTCATAGTAGTGCCACCACATTCACCGTCAGATAGACCTGCAATAAAATATGTTTGTTGTATACTACGTCATGTGTAGCAAAACTTACCTGCATCTCTCTCCCCTTCATTTGTCGCTGCAACACCACCACATTCACTGTCGGATCTCTCCCCTTCGTCTGTCGCTGCAGCACCACCGCATTCACCGTCGGATCTCTCTCCTTCATTTGTCGCTGTAGCACCACCACATTCACCATTGGATAGAACTGTCACACAACATATTAGTTATTTACTACAAAATGTTTAGTAGTACTTACGTGCAGTCTGCTCTCTGTGGTTCGTTGCTGCAGCAGGTCAGCATTTAAATACATCCTGCATGTGAGCAACACACATACCTGAATCCTCATTGGCATCATTACTAGTACCATCTTCCTCGAGACCAGCTGGACAACAAATTTTAATGAGAGTTGATAGCGAGTAAAAGAACGAGAGAAAACTTACCTGATGGCACATCACCATCTGTGCCATTTGTGGACCCATCAGCAGTGTCAGACAACTGGACCTCGGGACTTTCATTCACGTCACTGCGCTTCTTCCTGCCAAGTGACAAGTGTTTGCTGAAGTTAGAGAAGAAAACATCTTCTTCAGCAGATGATGTCATGGGATCAGAACATTCGGACCTTGGAAGAGGGTGAGCCTTGGGTCGAGGATGCGGCTGATGTTGATTTAGTAGATAATAAAATGACAATTATAAGCTTACACGGTCTTGGGTTTGGGTATTCATGACAGACTTTGGGCCAGCACGAGAGCGAGTTTGCTTTCACGTAGTACGTGTAGAGGCCTTTAGCAATCAGCAGTGGTTGCAGTGCGAACAATAAGTAACACATTACCTGGTTGTCATCAGCATCAGATTCGGCAGCCTTTTGGTCCTTGGACGCGTAAGTGTGAACATAGTCAGGCGGTGGTGGGGCTTTAGTCCGACGCCCCGAACGGGTAACAAGAGGCATTTGAGACTGCTTCCAACGATCACGAAGTTGCCTCAACAGTTTTATTTCACTGACACGAAGTCAGGTAAAGATATGAAAAGCGTGAAAGAGTTGAGAATGTTAGAGTGAATATAGAAGGGGCTGGAAATTTTGACAGTGTCTGAATATCATATCACATTATATACAGCAACCAGACTCTATGAAAATAGTTATTGCATTGATTGAATAATTATCTGGAATGGAACTTACTAGCATATCGGGGTGTCACCCCCAAATAAAGCTAGTAAATGTGGGCCCTTACTCAGGGATGTGTCACAGTAATATAACAGAGCCAAAACAACGGTTGGAATAGAGTTGAGAGATGGTGTGTGGTGTATGAGACATTGAGTTATAAGTTACGGCATTATAAAGGCCGGGAGCAGAAGGTATATAAAATAGTGCGAAGGTACGGTATAATGCACAGGTGGTGAAGAAACTGAATCCAGACTTCGATACACAGTAGAGACACCAGTAGAACCTCCATTTGTGGGGGATGACTGCTATTTCCAATGGTAACGGATGGCGTATGAAAGGGACATGTGAGGGTAGACTCACCTATAAAAAATGGAAAGACAGATGGAATGGACCGCCATAATATGCAGGTATGTGGATGGATGATGATAGTGATCTCTGAGGATTTGGTGCAAGGGTATATCACTAGAAGTAGATATGAGACAAATGTGTACACTCACTGATTAAAGACTGGAAGTGAAGTATGACGCACCAGATTGAACGCACTGTCATAATATGCGAGAAATTAATGACGAGGTTAAAGGACCTGTTTAAACAGATGATTAAGATTTTAGCGTATTCTGAGGATATGGCACTTACCCACAAGATGATAGTCACTCAATCCAGACTTAAGGTCTTTTTGATCCTCGGTGGAGTGTACAAAAAGGATATGTGAGGGCAGATCAGTAGAAGTAGATAAGAAATGTGCTCACTAGTGAAAAACTGAAAGAAGAAAAGCACGACACACCAGGCAGAAAACGGATGCGAGGCACTCCCATGGAAGGTCTTCAACCCTATTGGTGCAGCAACAAATGAGCAACCAGGGCGACCCTCCAGACACGCTGTCTAAGAGTGATAGATCAGCGACACAAAGTCGACTAATCAGGGTTTGAACGGCATGAAGCCAGTTCAGATAGCAAGAGAGGGCCGGGAGTCGGAGTTGAGGCTAAAAGTTGAGGGCCATGATGATCTAATGAGGAGGCAGTGGTGGGCTGGAAGTTGAGGGCGACGATGATCTAATGAGGAGGCAGGACGATAGAGGCAGTGGTGAAGAGTTGAACAAAGTTGGGACTTTCCCACAATTGCACTCGCTACCCAGATTCAGTCGGAATTTCATTGGGGATTTTCCCACTGCGTTTCTATTCAATTCCTTACATTTCTATCTACTGCCATTCATTGTTCCTCTTCTCTCTTCTCATCATCCTTCCTCTCTCTCTCTCGTCCTGCCTCACTAGATCATTGTCGCCCTCAACTTCCAGCCTCAACTCCCAACTCCTGGCCCTCTCTTGCCATCTGAACTGGCTTTGTGCTGTTCAAACCCTGATTAGTCGACTTTGTGTCGCTGATATATCACTCTTAGACTGCGTGTCTGGAGGGTCGCCCTGGTTGCTCATTTGCTGCTGCACCAATAGGGTTGAAGACCTTCTGCGGGAGTGCCTCACATCTGTTTTCTGCCCGGTGTGTCGTGCTTCTCTTCTTTCATCTTGACTCTCAGTCTTTCGCCAGTGAGCGTACATATTTTCTCTTAACTACTTCTGCTGATCTGCCTTCACATGTCCTTTGTGTGGTATCATTGCTGTCGTGGTGAGCAGCAACACAAACTCTCACGATCATATTCTGCAACGCAACACAAGGTACATTGACTTTCACTTTCGTTACGGACATCCACTTACGATTTGTAGCATTCATCATGCCCAATGCTCTGACATTGTTTAAGTCGAATTGCATGCTCTCAGACAGTACATATTTGTCAATCTATCTCTGTCATACACTGATGCTGATGTTTACAACAGGTTGGTTGCAAACTTTCGATGCCCGCGCTGTCGCTGTGCAGGGAAATCTAGTCATTACGACGCCCAGCATGCACTTTGTTCCAGAGTTTCATCACTTTGAAGAAGAAGACCTACAAGCCCGGGCAGATGGTCGCTTCGGCGTTATCGATTGCTTCCAGTGGCCTCAGTCCTATGATGACTCTTTTTGTCATGCTGTTTGCATTCCTCGAAAGGAGGCATTTCCATTCCTGCATCCGCTACATTGGGCCTGGTTCACCCCTAGCCAGGATGATCTTAAGTCCATTCCAGGGAATTCATTTCCTGTAGGCACGCTGGCTCCTGATAAGGTCGATGGCTTGCAGTCCCTTCTCAAACTGGCTGAGCAACGAGTCCGCAATTACAGAAAGGATCAGCCAGGCAGAGGTCAAATCATATACAGTCGCCTCTTGTACCTCCGTCATGCCATTGCACGGTTGAAGTCCCACCCCCTTACTTTTCAAGATCTTCTCATTTTTGTCACCAACGCTCAGCACCTCTTTCTCGACATATACTCTTACATTGACTGGGTACTCATCGCCCAACCTCGTACCACTTTTGGCGTTCACTATGAGGTCAACTTAGGATGGATGGGGGGGTTCGCACAGAGCAGCGACATCTGCGAGAAGTTATTATGCGCTGGCATCCCAGCTTGGTATGTCCGTGCAAGCGCATATATACCCCTGAAAATGATGGTCGTTGAACCGGTCTTACTCACACGCCTGGATCACATCATTATTGCCATGTATGCAGAGGGCAGAAAAATCCACCCATTTGAAGTCATCTACTGCGGTCAAGGTGGTTGCAATCATCATATGCACATTTGCCGCCTATATGCAAGCACGACATACCAAGATCCCGAGTCTGACAAATCCTCTCAACCGTCGTCCAGCTCGAGTCGTCCTGCTTCTGGTCCCAAATTATCTGCTCTTGGCAAGGCGCCTAAACAGAAGGGCAAACAATGCCACCGGCCTTGTATGTATCCTTTTTTCTTTGTATATGTTGCATGCTCACGCAATTTTCAGACTTCATCGAAGCTCACCCTACACAGTCAGGTAAATCTAGGGATAAGTGGAAAGATCCTGAGACTCCTTTCCTTCCACTGCCGAACCTGCATTGGGAAGGCACCATGAAAACTGTCATTAAGGACGAGTCTCATGTTCACACACCCTACGTTATTGATCGGGGGTATAGATTCCCTGAACCCGCTCTCCTCCTTGGTCCCAAGTTGCCTGAACAATTGCAACTATACCTTGCCAACTGGCTCGCTGCTCGTCCACTGTGGATTGGCCGAGTTGATCATGATCCTCCATGCACTTATCCCACTCCTCAGCTCTGGCGTGATTTCCTCGGTAGCGTCCCTTCTGTCCAACCACAATCTTTCAAAGGGAAAGAGCCAGACGAAAAGAGTCTTACAGCCACCAAGAAGGGGAAGCGAGCAATGCGGGACTTATTCGGCGATGACCTGTTGGAAACTCAGGGTGATATATTTTCGCCAGAAGGAGTTGTTGAATTTCGGGGTGAACAAGTCTCCATCGCTAGTCTCGCCATCGCTTCTGGTCCAGAAGATCACCTGGGAGTTATTTGAACTTGGCTTTCGGTACGATTTGAGGGATCTTGATCATTACTTGGCACGGGAATGTTGGAACAATGATGCCATTGGTCATGAGCAGCTCCTCCATAGCATCTTCCCGGGCGAGGCTGGTTTGGTGATGTGGTCAGAGTCGTTTCTGTCAGAGAACTATGGGTTGTGGAACAACACCTTGATGGGCTGTCTTCCTTACCTTGAGAATTTCCAGAGACTGCTTTGCGATTGGGATGATGTTCTGCCTTGTCTTATGACACCACTGACCTCGGACAATTTCACAGATACATACTCCTGGGAAGTCAGGCGCGCAGCGGCGACATTTTACATTCAAACATTCTTCGATCATTTCAGCAGGCCTCCCATTGTGCCCCACTTGCTTCCCATGCAATTGTAATCTCATAATTTCGCTGTTTTTGTCTTTTGCCTGTAGCAATGTTTTGCAGTTTCGTTACCTCATCATTATATGTTTGATTGATGTTGCTGTATTCCTGCTAGTTGAATTTGCATGACATAATCAGCAACACTGCCTCCAGCATTATTTGATGTTCCTGTGCAATGTAGGACACTCCATTACTTGACTTTGTAGGGCCACAGCATGGACTTCCATTTGTAGGCTTCTCGTCCTCTCATCTGTTTGCTCTCATTCATGTATCCTCTGTTTCCAAGCTCCTTTTTCATTCTGCGAGTCCCATCAAAACATATATCTGGTTCAGTTGGTCGCACACCAAAATTCTCCTATTGGGCTAGCGCAGTTACTGACATAATTACATCATGACATTGAAATGCAGATGACAAGATGTCTGACTATGTAGGGTTCCTGACCCGAAGGACTTGCTCTGATGCGATTATGGACATTTGCCTTGAGGGCTTTGTCTTCCAACTCCCAGTGTATCCACCACCACCGCCAGTTATTCTATTGAACTCTCCTCAACTGCCCGTCGGTCCACCCAGTGTCCACTACAATTAATCACTGCCATTGAACTCTGCTGGACTGCGCGTCCATGAATTGAGGTTCTCCAATTGACTTTGTGTCATTGTTTCTCTTCCTTGTAAGACTTCGGGTCTTAAGGAAGTTCGTCATGGTGGTCCGCCATCCGAAGCCTCAACGTCATAGAGCAACCACCCTCGATTCACCATTGCCTCCGTCAACACAACAATCGAGCACTATTATTTGTGAACCTTGGATGGTCAAGAAATGGAAACGCCCCCACAAGACTAAGAAGCTGAACCTTCATCTTCCTGGCCCACCTCCTGTCTTGATTATGCCAGGACGACGACATTTATCACAGCAAATTTTACCTCGTTCATTGTCCATGTCTAGGACAGAACTAGAACACAAGGATGATGAAGCGATCATTCCATTCCGCGACTCCCTGCATTTCTCTGACCATCCTGTTCCCCGTCATCTCACCAGCTCGCAGAAAAGGGCCAATCAATGGCGCAGATGGTCAGAAGACATCATTCTGCGCATGATAGTGCCCTATCTATCTTATATCGAGGAGACTTTATCGCTACGCCATGCCAACATACCAGGAGAACACCATTCAAATGATGGAGAGTGCGGCACTGGGTGCAGAACTCGTAGTATCAAGGTTGCATGTGTACTTTTCGACGGTATGTTATCGTCTTTCTTGTCTTCTAACTTTGGTCTGATGTACATTACAGCTTTCGAAGGAATCACCATCATCGCCTGTCCTTGTTTTCCCGCCCCGCTTCAGCTTCTTCGTCGCGGCCTTTTTCCATGTGCGCCCATGGTTCCATCTCTGGCAGTAGACTTATGAGTTCTGGAGTTCGTTCGCCTCCTCTTCATTCGTCAGTCCCCCAACCAAACTGCTTGGTGCGATGCTCTGGAGACCTTTCTTGATGGAATGAGGTACAAGTTGACATCAAAGGTCAGTATTTCCCTGCTCACGGGTGCGCCTGTATACTTAACCTTCTTTCAGAATAGCTTGCGGCATCGCTTCAGCAATGCATTTCACTGGTACTGGGTCTTGACTGTGTTGGCTCGGGATCACATCTCTACCCTCATTACTGATGCCCGGAAGGACGGTTCTTGTGTGGACCAGCCTAGTGAGTATCTTCGTTCACGGTGCCCACTCTGTTTCGGAGGGAACGATTGGCGAAATGAAGTGAGAGGTTCTCCTTCCATGTGCATCATTTATTATGACTCTACTGCACCAGTTGACCATTTCCAGGCCAAATATTATTGTTTGCATTGACGTGTGCTTCACACAAAAACATTCCACAAATCCTCATGGTGCTACTGGCAACGATCCTCCTAACCCAACATTGTCTTTCTTTCTACCGACGGCCGATGTGAACGCAATGGAAGATTGTGTTTAAAGGTGTCGTGGAGAAAGTCGTCAAGCAAGGGCCTCCAGGGCGGAGCCAGACAAAGATTGCTATGAAGAGGGCATGCATGTACCAGTGTCAGTCTTGAACGGGTGTGGAGACTCTTTCATCACTGCAGACAAAAAGCGAGAGAAGGCAAGTACTCGCTTCTTTATTGATACAGGCCTGATGGCCTTGCTTTGTAGACACGATCGTGTACTGTGGGTCGCGAACCTCACATCGGCGGGAGAAAAACAACACTATGCACTTGCTCTATTGGACCGGTTGTTTAAACATCTCCCTGCTCAGATGACCATTGGGCTTCTATATGACATTGGATGCCAGCTCGAATGGAGCTGTCGCAAGTGGAAGTTTATGGACAACTCTATTCTATCTCGCATTGCGTTTTCTGTTGCCATATTCCATGCCTATGGTCACCAGTGGCCTTGTCAGATCATCTACCACCCCAGGAAGCAAGAAGGATTTGGACTGTCTGACGGTGAAGGATGCGAACAACTGTGGAGTTTCCTCAAGCCCCTCATCCCCTCCTTGCGTGTTTCTGGGGTACGTATGCTCTATTTGTATTATTCTATGTATCTTACTCTTCGCTATGAAGTTTAATCAGCGGCTTTTCGTCCTCGACACACAAATTCGTCATCTGGACTCGAAATCATTACAAGGGTTTGAACATTGGCTCCATCGGCGCTGGATCCACTGTCAAATGAAGAAAAACGGTGCACTGGACAGTTTACATGACTTACAGGTGGACGAACATATGCTTTGTGTAGAATGGAAGGCTCAGGTTGATCACCAGACGAAACCTGCACCACGTACATCTGTAATGACCAAATGTTCTAAGAGTCCTGAACTGAACCTTACGTAGGACAATCTAGAAACAAGGCAGCGGAGGTTATTACTACCGTCCTAGCACTGGAGAAGACCCTAGAAGCTCAGGAGGCTTCTATCTGTGAGCTCGAGATGCAGCTCCATGGTGGCCGTGTCCCTGACATTGTCGAGTTCAACCTGCAGCTTGCAGACATCCGCTCACGGTGAGTGAAAACTGCTGACACTCTCCGATGATGTCAAGCTGCGCTTGGAACAGAGTACAAGGTCAACCTGGAGAAGATAAAGAAGGATATTTATCTTACGGTTCGCTTGAATGCCCTTGCAGTCAAAACTCGTATTCGCGACTGCCTTCGTCAATGCAAGTTTGAGTTGGAGAGACTTGAGAGATCATACAGAGCAACAATCAATGGTGCATTGACGATTTGACCAGACTGGTGCACATCTCATAATTTTCCAGCTGAGCACAAGCTTCATGCCAATACTCAGCAGTCGATCAAGCGGCGAGAGCCTGGCATCCTCAAATTAGTTTCAATGTACAATGGTTTGTGTTCCCAACTACGATCTCTTATATGCCAGTGTCAAGCACCTCCTTATGCTGTTATGCCTCACATCATCCTGCGTGATGGCATCTTTCTGCTTGATGTTGATGATGACACTATAGTGCCGCCAGCATGGCTATCAGATGATGCCGTCTGAAATGGTATCCGCTTGCAACTTGAGGTTGATCGGTGTATGGAGGAGGAAGCTCAACTGATGCGTGAGAGGGCTGTCATTCAAGAATGGATGTTGGCGGAGTGGGGGGCCATAAGAGGTGCCTCGAACAATGCAGGTATGTGTGTCCTTACAATGTTATCAATGGTTGTTAGTGACGTTGCAGTGACAGACACAGTCATATCTTTCCACCTTCGGTCTTGTGCAGATGAACTCATCAACATATGTGTAGTCTGGAAGAAAAAGGTTCAGTGTATTCCTTGCACATGGCCAGTTGGTGAGAGCTGGGGACCCTCTGATGAAGCATTGCTTTAGGCAGCTTGTGATCAAGTGCAGTCATCATTTCGTGATGAGGATGATGCCGAGAGTGTGGAAGGGGAGGAAGGTGATTGTGAGGGAGACCTGGAATATGGTGAGATCGGAGATGAGGAACTGATGGATGCTATTGAAGACATTGCACTAGCGGACGAGTACAGGTATGATCACAGTAATGAGTTATTGGATGACACGGATGACATTGATGATCACTTTATGCCTTCCTCCCCTATTAAATTGTCAAATAAATGTCGGTGCATATAGAATTTATAGTTTTCGGTCCTCCATTAAATTGTCAAATAAATGTTGGCACATATAGAATTTATAGTTGTCACTTGGTTTTGGCTGACAGATGTGTGAGAATGTATTATACAGTAGCTACTAGTGATGTCTCAGCTCCAAGCTGCATTTTTCAGAAAATGAGCATAACATGCTGGATAAAATTCCTAAATTCATGAAAATATTTATGGACATAGATTGAGCCAAAATCTGGGAGGCATATAAGGGGAATTCTTACTGTTATGCATCATTGTCTTGTTACTGAGCGTTTAAACACAGGGACTTCATGCTCTATTGGAGCTTCGTGCTCTCACCAGGAAGCTTTGTGCTTGTACCCTGCAGCTCCATGCTCCGACTATCGGGCTCCGTGCTCCAACTCTGGGGCTTCGTGCTCACAACATGGGGCTTCACGCTCACAACATAGGGCTTCGCGCTCGATTCCACCTGTCCCTATTCACACTGACCATGATGAACTCCTGGATCACAGCATTCACTCAGATGAGTCCGATGACGATCTCCCACCGTCATCTCCACCACTGTCATCTCCTCATGCGACTCCTCAAGGTTCGAATGTAGCAGCAGGACGATACCAGTACAACTGTGTACGTGAAGATATCCGCCGCTCAATGGCCTCTGAGACTAGGAAATGGACTCGTGATGATTATGAAAGTGCAAGGGAGGCTGACGACATTGAAACGGGAATGGTGGCTGCAAGATATCGGAGCAGGACCCATGTACGTATTTTTACATTGTATCTTTGTCTTTATTTCTCACATACTTTCACATTGCAGGACAGGGCAAGCATGGGTATAAAGTCCACCAAGGGTCACAAGTATGTTGTTGCCGTGTTGCCAATCTTACTGTGTTAATTGTTGTCTATTCCCTAGTCATCCTAAGCCATATGTTCGTGCCTCATCAAAGGCACGCATGGGACCTGCCCTGAACCAAAACACTATGCACTTGCCATCTTGTTTGGCAGTCGTGCCATACTCTGAGGGCTCTCCATCTTCGCGCCAATATGCCTCACGTCTTCAGCCTGCTCATGTTCTGGATTGCCATTTACTTCCTCCTGTAGATGAGGATGAATTTGAGTATAACTGATGTTTACAGCTTTTATAACCACCTGTCATATTGTCTGATCTCGACTATGATACTTGTCATGACTTATGCTACTACTTGCCTATGACTTACCTCACTCATTGCATGCCGATGACTCATGTTAAAATTCTTATGCATATGCAAACATGCTTTTGTAATCCATGACTCATGGTTTATGTTTTGTCCTCTATCTTACATGCTGATCACAATTGTCTAGACTTACCTGATATCAAAGAATATTACTGTGTGTGGTTTTTCCTCATGTGCACGGTCTTCTGCACTCGTGCAACATTATAAAGATCAATATCAATGGTGTCTATGTCTTGTGACTCCGCTCTCTCATGCTTCTCTACTTTCAGCTTCATACTCTTGAATCACTTCACCAATGGAGTACATTCGAGCTACATGTAGCTACACACGACACATGTATTCATTAACCAAGTGAAAATAAAGTAAGGTAGACCTCATGCGAAAGCATTGAATGTCATGTGAGAGTGACTGACTGTTATCCATATAAGTTGCCAAAAGAGCCAAACAATGAGGCAGATGAATGTGGAGCTAAGTGCTGTAGCAATCGTACAATGAGTGTGCGTGTAATATGACTCGACTCTATACGGGTCGGTGTCTGCCTAGCTGCTTCTCTTGCAAGAAGGCAAAGCAACATGTACATCTCGCCCAATGGGGTAGAGAGGCTGTGAACTATATGGTGCGTGATATTATCAATAGATTGTGATAAGGATACGAGGTCGACAGGTGCGGAGTCTGCAGTGACCTGGCAATGAACGTGTCACAACCATGACAACAAAAACAAATTGGACAAACACTGACTGTAGCTGAAGACTGAGCTGGATCTAATAAAAATATTAATTGTTGTAATTCCAATGGACGTGAGTCAGCTGTTTTGACGTGTTTCAAATACCAGTCTTCATCAATGCCAACCCACTCGCCATCATGCAGTAATGCATGGGCTGGATGAAGTGTTGAAGGGATGGATGGAGCAAAGAATGAAGAGTGTTTGATTGCTGAAAGGACCTGGAAGTATGCGAGAGCTGAGACATCACTAGTAGCAAACAATGGAGTACTTTTGAGCTACATCTACATATGTATTCATTAATTGAGAGAACATGAAGGTAGTAGCTGAGTGACATACATGTTCTTCAGGAAGAATCGGACATGGTGTCTCCCTAGTAGAAATGGAGTAATTCCAGTCAGATTAGTCTGTTAAAGGGGGTGGTGGTGTGCATAGTAGCTGAGTGACATACATGTTCTTCAGGAAGAATCGGACATGGTGTCTTCCTAGTAGAAATGGAGTAATTCTAGTCAGATTAGGCTGTTGAAGGGGGGGTGGTGGTGTGCGGTCTTCCCTAAAATATGAATAGTACACCTATGGTCCTTCCCAATAAGTTTGTGGTCTTCCCTATGGTCCTTCCCAATTAACTTCCGGTCTTCCCTATAGCATGCATATTACACCTGTGGTCCGTCTCATTAAGCCTGTGGTCTTCCCTATAGCATGCATATTACATCTATGGTCCGTCCCATTAAGCCTACGGTCCTCTCTATTGCATACACATTACACCTATGGTCCGTCCCATTAAGCCTGCATATTCCCTATAGCATGAATAGTACACCTATGGTCCGTCCCAATAAGCTTGCAGTCTTCCCTATAGCATGCATATTATACCTATGGTCCTTCCCATTAAGTGTACAGTCTTCCCTATAGCATGCATATTACACCTATGGTCCGTCCCATTAAGCTTACGGTCTTCCCTATTGCAGGCACATCACACCTACGGTCCTTCCCATTAAGCTTGTGGTCTCGTCTGCTTATTATTTTTGCAATGCTGTGGTATGCCATCCCTATTCATCTATCTATGTGAAAGTCTGGAGTACTATAGACAAAGGTTATAGTAAAGCTACTGGGTCCAAAGGTAGGTAAATGGCCATGAGGTACTGCAGCTAATATGGTTAAACAGGAAGGAGCCTCCTACCAAGATGCAAGCGGAGTGAGCATTGAGGAGTGGGTGTGATGAACCAACATGTGTGTGGTTTGAAGTATACGTACCAGCAGTGTTAGGTAGAACTGAACTGGGCATAGGACAATTTTCCAGAGGATGTGAGCGGGTCTAGTGGGTATATAATGAAATCTGTTGTGGGTTATGCGCCTGGCATGTTGGAGATGACTGTAGGTCATCTGGACAAAGTATACAATTTTGATATATTGTTCAATTATATAAAAAAAGCTTCATTAGGTTTATGGGGGGGTCTAGGAGGCAGGGCACAGGGCACAGATGCAATCCACAAAGGTAGGGAAATTTGCCAAAAAATTGTTAGTTGAAGACCCCAGACACCCCTACGTTATAGGGAATTCAAGTGGTCCAAATCATCATATGGTACTCCCACAACATATTCCCAATGGTCTTTGGTCCCTAACAACAACAGGGAAAGACCACAGAACATTGGGTAGACCACCAGAAAAGTACCTCTTAGGTAAAAACCTCTATAGGTAGCAATCAACCTAAGAGGTGTCTAAAATGGGGTGACCAAAGTGCATTGTCACACATGTTACAATTATTGAAAGGTCTGTCCAGTATACCCGACCATTTGTTGACCACTCAGTTGAATTTTCGGTGGAACAAATAGTGGCAAACTTCGCGCCACTACAAGTTGTGCCAGTCGGCTAGGTGTGTAAGAGTCCAAAGTTGCGGTGTTTGAAATAAGTTTTGTATGTACATATTTGGCACTAAGTACTAGGATGAAGACTCGCTACACACCACCAATTGGTTTGGAGTCTGTATTCATTTCATCTATTTAGCTGAGAAGGAACATTGTGAATGATAGACTTGCCTTATAGATTCACTTCTGAATGATTTGTTTAGAGATGCATCTAACTATTGTTAGCCAAAATGGATGGAGACCACCATATCATAAGAGCATCAATTTACTGGTGGCTGAGTGCTGATATTTTTGTGGTAACATGAGAAGCCTCTAAATCTGAATCTAAACCAACAATTACTTTAAGGTAATCAAGACGCAATCATTGTTTTATCAGTAATCTGATGTTACTGATTTAGATCTAATTATCTCCCCCACTGCATGCTCACCACCCAAGCCTTTATTCATTAAAAAAGATCAAACAGACACAAACAATATATCATTTCACAGGTTTCAAACCTGTAGGCCTTGATTAGAACATATTTTGAATCCATTGTGGTGAAATTCATGGCTAAGACCATTTCGTATAGAAAAAATGTAACATTCAATGGGTTTCAAACCTGTTACACTTTAATAGAAACAGATTTTGATTCTGTTATGACAACCACTTTGCTAGACACAACTCTGATCAGCTTGCAAGCAAACTGACAATGAGCATATGTCAAGGTGTGTTTTCATAAAAAAATAAATTTTATCATTAGCAGGTTTCAAACCTGCACAGTCCAAGAGAAACAAATTTTGACTCTGATAATTGCTTGGCAATTTGATTCTTAGCAGGTTTTGAACCCACACAAACAACTTTAGATTCTGTTGTATCAACTGCTTGGCTAAGACCAGTTATATGCGCTCCCAATGAACTCATTCAGAAGTGACTTATATAAACTCTAATGAGCTTGTAAGCAAATTGACCATGAGCATGTGTCAAGGTGTGGTTTTATACAAAAAATGAATTTTATCATTGGCTGGTTTCAAACCTGCACATTCCAAGAGAAACATATTTTGACTCTGATAATCACTAGCAATTTCATCTTTAGCAGGTTTTGAACCCACATGCACAGATTTGAAACAGATTTGGATTCTGTTGTAGCAACTGTTTGACTAACACCAGTTAGATCCATCTTTAAAGAAAACACTCAGAAGTGAATCTGCAAGGCAAGTCTACCATTCTCTATCAC